TTATCATACCTAACTCCCCTCTCAAAATAAAGTGAATGAAAACCAGTTTATTTTTTCGAATTTCTCGGGTTCATCTTGTTTATTCTATAAAATAGTTATGTTTGTCAGTAGGCACGATAACGTTTGGTGTATTTTTATTTTCTGACAGTGTACCTCTCAATAAAATACACGTAAATGTTTCTGACGTCATTTCCACAAAAATCCAAGTAAAAAATCAGGCCCGTCTTCTGTGGTAAAAATTAGATCACAAAGTTTTTATTGACACTAAAAATGTGACGTCACAGACATTAAACCTGAATACACTGATTCCATATCTTGATAGGCCTACTATTATTAAGGTGCTAACAAACAGACACAAACTTAGCTTTATATATTAGATATGTCATTCTTGTTATTGTTTTTTTTTAATAATGTGTTTATTTGTAAAAAAACTTATATATACACATTTGTAGATTAACGAAACATCAGCATATAAAGAGGTTTGAGTACGTTATACTAATACGATTTTGAATATGTAAGTCAGTAGGTCACGTGACAACCACAGCCGATATACAAGTTGTGATGGAATGGAGTTTATAAGAACTACATTTTTACATTATGTAGCGTTCATGGGTAATGCGATGCCACCGAAAACTAATCACTTTCGTAAAGGATATGTAGCAGACCGTTCCGAAACAAAATATCCACACACCCAAGTCATAAAGATTTATTTTTCAGAGCGGGGGAATTTTCAAACTGGTGATATCCCTTCCACTTAATGGCATTTGAAGCATCAGGACCATCCATCAAGATAGTACAACAGGTCGCAAGCTAAGTCTCATAATAAATCAGAAGTCAAAAGCCAACCATGATAATAAAGAAAGATCTCCATCTGGAAACCGAGACCAACAGAGTATGGACTCACCAAGATAAAGCTTCCAGTCACACCTCAAGCAACTGGAGAATAAAACGGGTATTCCATAAGAAGATGTACCAGTCATGTCGGCGGAGATAGCATCTATGGATTTTTTTGTGATTAAACTGTTGAAACGGGCGATGGGCAACATTTGTCATAATAATCTAGATGGATTATGGAAAGGTCTCAAGGACGAATGGTGTGTTTGGGACATGACAGCCTTACGACGGAGTCTCGCACAATGGAAACTACGCTGTAGGACAGATAAAGAATGGCCAGACAATATGGACTGTTGAAAATCGTTGTAGTCTAACATACTCAACCTCTATGTAATATTTTCATGAGTGACAGTAATAATGTATTTTATGTATCGTTTTACAGTGATGGGATCGGCCGTACAGGAACATACTGTCTTATTGATATGGTACTGAACAGAATGGCCAAAGGTAATTAGTACTGTTAAGTAGTACGGTTATGTTTTTCATGCAGAACGTAGCTTTTTAACAAGAACATGGGTGACTAAAGATAGTCAATACATGTACTGTAGTGACAACATGATGTCTCTTTATAACTACACATCCAGAGCTGACCAGTGGGACAACTGTTTACTAACAGCAGGATGTTACTTTAGATCTAACAACCAGTGGGACAACTGTTTACTAACAGCAGGATGTTACTTTAGATCTAACAACCAGTGGGACAACTGTTTACTAAC